GGATTTCCCATGTTTTTCTCGCACCCCTGTGGAGAGGAGAAGCTCTGCTCGCAGCCTCGGGCGTGACCCAGTGCCCAGGCCGCCTAGCGGATGGTGACACGCCTGTCAGTCGGGGCTGTTTCTTTCTGCGAGCCAATGACTCGCTCGCATCATATATCCGCCATGTGCTCTTCTCCAATTGGGCTCTTCCTCTCTCTTTAGGCCCATTTTGGCAACCTTGCCGCTGTCAAGGCTTGAGGACTTTGCTATCTCTGGTTTCAGTCCCATTCGTCCTGCATATGGAGGAAATTACCAGAACGATCCCGAGTTACACTAGTGGTGTGTAATAGAGAACCTTAATCGGGGAAGAAGCTCTCCTGATGCAGAACACGTTTATTTGACGGGTGGGCTTAGAGATTAGCAGCCATTTTGATAGGATGCTGGTCAACCTGAAGATCAGGAAAAAAGCAGAGACTCTACAGTTACCACTTCTTTGCTGAAGATGGAGGTTGCCGGCCTTGATTTGTAATTTTCCTGGGTTTGTAGCCCCGACTTTATCCCGCCGGAGAGTCTTCAGTTTTTTGGGCACCCGGTGGCAATACAGGCTGTGAAGATCGAAATAATACAACAGTCTTACTAGGTTTGGTTTTAATTAGAATAATTGTTTTGGAGATTTGTTTGCGAATTTTGTTGCCATGTTACGTACTGTCATGTAAACTTAGTGGAGTCCGAGCCAGCTTCTTCAGACCATCAAACATCTGCTTATGTCAATGCCCTGTGGAATCGCCATTCTGTCACTGCACACGCAAAAAGCTAATTTCCTTCTGTATGACAAAGATTCATTGGATAAGTATCTCCAGTCAGAAGCCTGTGGTAGCCAAGCATTTTGTGTCTTTGTTAGGTCCCTATCAGGGCCTGTATATGCTGATGCAATTCAAGTGTCTCCTTCCCAGATGCGGCTCAACCAGAGCCCCTGACCATCTTGGGTCGTACAGCTTGTTATACCGCATGCATGTGGCCTGCAAAAGCTATAATAATTTTTTAAGCAATAAATAGACTTTACAAATCTTTATGAAGTATCTGAGTGCGTGGTTTGAATACCAGTAAATGTACTATGTGCACGTCGTAAATTCTGATACTAACCATTGCATCTTCATGTCCAAAAATCCCTAAATGCATGTGTCTATGGTGCTAAATAAGTATATATCCACCTGTACAAAGTCTTATCATGGAGGGCAGTCTGTCATAATTATTAGCCCCCTATGAGAAATGGGACATTTATGTTCCGTTTTATCATTTTACAAACTTTACAAAGCAAAAAATTCATCAGTGTAAAAACCTCCAATTGGTACGTTTTTAATTTAACAAACAGCTTCCATATTTCGGTATAACAACTTTATTGAAAATTGGGGTGGTCAAAATGATTAGCCCCATGTGATCTGCTCAGAAAGCATAGTAGTAAAATTAAATGTTCTGGTGTGGAACCACACCTGAAGCCCATATGATGTGATTGGCTCGATCAGTTAGCACTACACTCTAACAAATGGACTGAAATAAGCAGAGCTAGTGGTACTTAAAGGCAAGATCGAGAGGAATCATGCTTACATTCTTTGTAATTTCATCATGCCAAAAACCAAAGAAATAAGTACAGACCTCAGAGAAAAGATAGTGGATGCTCATCTTAAGGGGAACGGCTATTCGGCCAATTGCAAGCCTTTCACTGTGTCCAGAACAGCTGTACGTTGCATCATTGCAAAATACAAAGTGACCCATTCTGTCAGGCGTGGTTGCAAGCGCAATATTTCAAAGACTTTGGAGAGGAAAATAATCAGAGATGCCAACAAGAACCCAAGAATCAATGCAAAGGCCATTGTCAACGAACTGGCCTCTTCTGGATTTAAAAACAACTGTTGAGCGCTCTATATCATGAGAAGCTTTGAGGTCATCAGCCAAGGAAAACTCCACTGCTCACACGCGGCATATCAAAGCTAGAATGAAGTTTGCCCAGGACCATTTGAAACATGGGGATGAACTTTGGAAGTCTCTCCTTTTGGTCTGGTGAGATAAAACTGAAGCTGCTTGGGCACATAGACATGCCTTTTTTGGCATTGGAAGGGAGAGGCCTTCAACCCTAAAAACAAAGTTCCCAAGGTTAACCATGGTGGTGGGAGCATCATGCTGGGTTTTGCTGCTTCCTGAACAAGGTTTCCTGTCCTTGTATGTGGCATAATGAAAAAATATGATTATGTTGACATTTTAAAGAACAATTTGAAGAAATCTGCTGCTAGTCTGGCTGTGGGTTGTCACTGGGTCTTTCAGCAAGATAATGACCCAAAGTACACATCACGGGTAGTCCAGTACCTTTTAAGGAACGCCGCAATCAAGGTCCTGGAGTGGCTGTGTCAAAGCCCAGATCGCAATCCTATTGGGAATCTTTGGTGAAAGCTCAAAGTTAAGGTCCACTCTCAAAAAGAGTCTAATTTTGCATGAGCTTGAGCAGTTTACCATGGAGAAATGGTCTTCGATCATTCAGGATCTGTGCAAACCTTGTGAGAAACTACAGTAAGAACTTGCTATCAGTTGTGAATCAGAAGGGCTACCCTATTGGATATAAAATGTCAGAGGGCCAATTTTGGCCATGGTTTTTTTTTTTTTGTGTGTTCCTTGTTTCGATTAAGTACACCAATAACATATTTCCGTCAAACTTCTTGGAAATTGTCTTTGTCCTTTTGGAAGCAATTCTCATAAGCATACTAAATAATAATAATAAAAATACTAATCATTTTTCAAAATAAGTTTCGTTCAATTTCGGACGGGGGTTAATGATTATGACCTTAACGGTAAGGATAAGGCAGACTTCAGCTGCAGGAGGTTTTTGGATGATCTGGCTGTGAAGAAATTCACCCTGGAATGTGTGCTGTTCCTTATCAGCAGAGAGGAGGCGCTGACATCAGCCTTGGGTGGAGGGGAGCGCCGTTTGCGCCGGGGGGCAGCAGCTAGAGGAGAGGAAGGCGTCCATGCCGCACCCTCGGAGGCTCTGCGGGGGCTTTCCCATGTTTTGGAGAAACTGTGAAAGGGTGAAACTGGCTGGTATCCTAATGAAAGGCAGTGCTTCTCCTAGAACTATGCAAATGTGTAAAGAGCAAAGAGTTTTATCGTAATTTTAGTCCCCAAACATTTTGCAGTAGAAGGTGGGCAATATGTTGTTTTTCTGCATGTGTGAGTCCCAGTGGATTTTAGTTTGTGTGTGTGTGTGTGTGTGTGCGCGTATGTCTTTTTGAATGGAATGCACAAAGTGTAGACTGGGAAGAGGTTTCTTCTGTCCCTCAGAAGCACGGTCTGGCACAGGATTCCACAGTCCATCCCTGCAAACCCAACAGAACATTTCCCTTGTACCCAGAGGTTGTCGGCCAGTTTGGTAACAAACTGGTAACATAGTGTTACATTTATTGGGGTCCACAAAAGTTAACTCTGCTGAAATCACAAGAGCGATGGAAAAATGAGAGTGCTTCAGCTGGTGGGAGCACGGAGTGACCTACTCAGGCCTCTAGGTGTGAAAATACAGGGAGAGAGGGAGGTCTGTTGTGCTGGGGATGACTCAGTACAGATGGCAGGGTGGGGAAGTAGAGGTTTGGCTTGGGGGGGGGGAACGCAGCAGAATGATGGAAGTAGCCGCACTGCATGTGTATTCCCGGGGTGAATGCTCGGGTGATTATCGGTGACACCTGCTGATGATTTCCAGAGCAGTAGATATCAAAGTCGCCCTCCTTTTTTGGCGTTTGGGGTAGATTCCTCCTACAGTTCAGACTTCTGGTCTAGTGACACAAAGGATTCGTGGGAAACTGTGGATGAGAAGCAGGAGCAGAGATGGGGAGACCCTTTCTAAATGGAAATAAGATACAGGAAAAACAACTTGCATCGATCATTAACTAATCTGAAGGTGTATTCCCTGGTTCACTTTACACATTACGGTTAGAAAAACTGCGGCGGTATACAGTGCATTAATCTTTACAAGTGGTTGAGGAGGATACTGTGATGAGTCCAAGGTTGCACCAGGTTCTCAACTGCAAAATTGGTGGTTAATGTTTAACATTAACCCCTGAATGTCTGCTGATATGGTGGCTGTGTCACCAACATCTTCACACAAGCCATATACAGACTGCCGTGCTTATAGCAAAGTGAAGCAGCTGTATGCTAAAGTGAGTCTGTAGGACTTATCTGTAGCTGCTCCAGGCTCAGTAGGATTACTGAAAGGCCTATTAAGCCACAGATACATTAGTCAGGTCAAACGATGCAGGTCCTGTCACCTCTGAAGTATGTAAATTTATGTTAAAGCATGAGCATCCAGAAGATGGTAGAAATCAATACCTTGGAGAGGCTAAATTATAGCACACGGGCTAAAATTAATCTGATTAATTACATGGGCTTGGGTGATGTTCCAAGCGTTAATATGCTCTGTAGGAATCCCTTTGTGCTGCCAGGCCCAGTTCAGTGTTATTTTTACTTTTTTGAATGAGTAGATAGGTGATCTCCAGTGTTCCGGCTGAATGCTGCCCCAAGGGAGATCATGAGTTACTGTTGCCAAGGGTGAAGTCATCTGTTGTCGAACCTCCTGTTTCCTGATGCGTCTGTGAGAGTGGAGGAAGCTGGCTTTTCCTGTAAATTCTCATTTTTACCTTCAAGAATGTGCTCTCAAAAATATTACAGGATCAGAGTATGCCTCTCCCGGACAAGCCCTTATCCATTTTCACACTCGCACAGGTCCTGTATTTGATCTCATTTGAATTACCGCCCGAATTGTCAACTTTCAGCCTGGTACTGAGGAATGTGATATATTGTCATAGTAAAAAATAATAATCTTCTGCTGCCTGCAGCTCTTATCCAAGTGGCGTGCTGATGTAACACGTCTCTCTGGCTGTAATTGGATGTCTGTCATATGCCAGCCTTTTTTGATTCGTATAAAATCATGACTTCCTGCAATGTTACTTTTTACCTTGACCCACCACCCTTGTTCTCCCTAGTTACAAACAAGAAGCCCCCACAGCTGTCCATCACCAAGGTGAAGCAGTTTGAAGGCTCCTCCTCGTTCGCTAGGAGGTCTCAGTGGAGCATGGACCAGCTTCGTAAGGTCAACGGCATCGACCCTAATCGAGTGAGTGCTTTGGATTGGATGAGGGTTAAGGGTAAATCTGAAAGTAGGTCTTTTTGGGTCGGAGAAGCATGTATTGGCATTCTAGATGGAAGGGAGTGACACTTTGAAAAATGAAATCAAAGTGTTTTCTAAGAGCGTTGCAATAATCCCATTAGATTTTTGATGTAGTAATGGTGGTGTAGGGTTATTAAACACATTTACGACCTTGGCTTCCCACATTGTTATTCTTCTGTGGAATCTATGTCTGAACTACTAGACTTATCTGCTATTTGTTTTTAATGTTTTTCCCCCTTGGTTTTCATCTGCAACACTCAATAGGCTCATTTCTCTGTATAACTGAGCTCCTGTGGTTCCAAAATTAAATCCGTAGGCGATGCCTACCAGACGTGTCATAACATCCGACCGAGTGCTGTGTTGGTTTTTTTTGGACTCCTGATGTGTGGCTATCCTCTGCACCCCCTGTTCCCCAGGACTGTCCAGAGTTTGACTTGGAGTTTGACAACGCCTCCGACCAGTGGGTGGCAGGCTCTGCAGGGGAGAAGTGCATGTTTGTCCAGGTCTTGCACCACACCTGCCAGCGGCACAGCGGGGAGCGCAAACCAGAGTTTGTCAACTGCCAGTCCAAGCTGCTTGGAGGTATGACAATAAGGCATTTACGCTACCCCTGCCCTGGGCATGCTGGAGGCTTTCATTCTGTAGAATCCGGGGCTGCTTTCTCAGTGAACTCCAGGGGAATAATTGCCAGTGACCTGAAGGTAAGCTAGTTCTGTGTTCTGTCTTATCTGGATGCTGGATCTGACAGTAAACCAGTCCAACCAGATCAAGAGCATGTACTAGGCCAGATCAGGACATAACATAATTTCTATGCTTAATCGATTTGTGGGTCAGTTTCACTTCACTACTGTTGCTGACGTACGCTCGACAACTAAAAAAGTACATGCAGCGCTTGTTTTTGTGTTGTAGTTAATTGCGAAAGCTTTTCCTACTTCTGTCTGGTCGTCTTCATGGCTCAGGGCCAGGCACGATGAGGTTGCACGTTTAGAGCACAGGCCCATGTAAATGTCAACAATACAGTGCTGTTACATGTTGATGTTTCTTGGAAGGCGCCATTCAGAAGATGGATTCCAGGAATTTGAAAGACCAGTCCTTGGAGTACTAACGCCTTTAGCTGAGGATTAATACACTCATGGGCAAATAAATTTGGGAGGGGCGATGCTTGCGAATGAGACGTCATTCAATGGAACAGATGCATTAATGCCGACCACATTTCATGCACTGAACGCAAGTATCTGTTTGCTTTGCTTATTTAAGCTGCCATTTATTTAAACTTGAGTGCCTTTGAGTCATTTTTAATCAGGGATTGATCCATTAGGCTGAAGTTCCTGACCACAGCTGACAGGCTGTGAACGTTCCTCCTGGATGAATTGTGGCCTGAGGTCAATGACTATATTTGCTGCTTCCGCGGAAGATGGAGTGTGCTGTAGTCTGGCTATTGACTCTTATTTAGGCTATTATTGGTGCATATTGAAGAAGGTGAGGCCTCGTCTATTAGGCCATTCAGAAAATGAATCTATAGTGTTGAATAGCTGTGACTGGGCCATCCTGAAAGGGGGGGGGGAGGGGGGAATCCTAGCGGCTCCTCAATCTTCCTGCCCCTCCCAGTTTAAGTCTCACACCAGTGCAAAACAATGATGATGTGGCTGCTCGGGTGTGGGACAATAACTGTGTGGGGTGCATCTTCAGCGCTCCGCTACGTCACATGGCCTTTTTGTGTGCTAGTAAATGTAACTGGGTTTAGTATTAACCAGAGCCCTGACTTCTCAGCTGAGTGTTTAAGTGTCGCTGAGATTCTATCCTGTACTGTAGAAATATGTTTGATAAACGGCTGAGTTCTTCCATGGAATGCCGGAAGCTGTATGTACAGTATGCCTTATTTGGTACCTTGGTGACTAGGCTAATCTCTGATACGCAGTAATAAAGTTCCTCTGTTCCGGCATAAGGCGTATATGGCGTTACTTTGGTTTTGTTCGGGAAATTCCACCAGAATTGGCGTAATCACACGACATTGGGAGCAGAGCGATAAGATGTGAAGTTTGTACTCTCACGTTTTGGTCGGACACAATCTCAGAGCTCATGCCTGTCAGTAGGGCGGTGTGTTAAGGCTCCATTCCATGTCAATCTTTGTGGGTTATTTTTGTGTCTTCAGGGAGAATCACTTTGCATTTTGGGGATCGAGTTCGGTATTAACGTTTGGAGTGTCACCTTAAATAATGGTCCTGTGCAGAGTGAAGCTGTATATGTGGACCATACAATTTTATTTTCCTTTTTTTAAAAAAAAAAAAAGCATGTTTTTGTTGTTTGCGGGGATCTGTGCATGTATCTGCTCTGCGATGGACTGTGGTGGCATCTGGGGTTAATCACAGCTGCCTGGAATGGGCTGCATATATATTTGTAGAGCCCTGCTTCCTCATACTGTAGCTGCCTTCTTTTGGACTCCAACTTGGATTTGTATTGTGTCTGTAGTCATGGGTGTTTAATAACTGGTGGGTAATGATGATGGTAACAGGCTGTTTTTAGTACTGCTGATTTTATTGACCCTTTAATATAGGCATCTGGGCAGTGGTAATGTTACCATGAAAGATCAGCCATACAGTTTGGCTGTATGGAGAATATAAATCAAACTGATAATTGTCATTGCTGCACATGGAACTTGCTCTTCCCTGAGTGGTATTAAGACTTTTAAATCCCAGCACTGAGTCTGTTTTTGGTAACTGCCAATCCAGAGATATTGGAACATGTGTAAGTCACTTCAGATTAGCTATGCTAAGGATCCTATATGCAGTTGTGCACTGTACAGTGATGTTTCACAGGGCTCTGGATTGTGATATTGTCGCTGGGAGACGCTGTGAATGACAACCTGGCATTTTTGACCCCTAAAATGGAGAGGAGGGCAGCTGGCAGCTGGCAGCTAATGCAGATGTCTAGTCAATGCCACATAAACAAGGAGAATTTGTACATCCCACTCCTTTCGGTTCCGTTGTCACCGTGGTGACCGTAGTGATAGGATCTTTGCTGTGTGGCACGTCAGACGTTGGCGCCATTGTAAAGGTGAAATCGCTCTTAAACGTGCTGCTTATTTCCATTCATAAATTCCATCTGCTAACTTTCCTAACTGCATCCGAAGGTGTAATATAAGTAGGCACTGCCTTTTCCCTCTTTCTCATGGCCAAACATGTGTTTTAAAAAATAATGCCATTTAAAACCATTTAAAGATGTCGCCCCCACACGTTGCCTGACCTGCGCTGGCTGACCCGCTTCTGGCCCCCCTAACCCCCCATACATAATGCCTCAGGGATATACGTCGTGGCCTCCCGCCCGGAACTGAGACCTTGTCTTTCTTGTCGTCCTTTGCCCCAGAAGCATGCTCAGTAAATTCAGTCATGTTGCGTTGCAAGATGTTTTTGCATGGAATGAGGAATACCAAGGTATCAAGCCAGAAACGGCCTCCCAGAAAAGGTAAGGATCCTTCTGGGACCTGGACAGGTATTCTGCTAATGACTGCTGGAACTGCTCAAACGGCTATACTGATACGCTGCAAAGTGGCACCCAATAGCAAATCATATTAAAGTCCGAGTTACAAGCTGCTCGGATCTGTTTCTCACTGTTGGGGCTTGTGGAGTGATGAATGGGGAATATCTGTGTAGGGAGAGCTTACACCATAAAAAAAAACATTTTATGAATACAGAGTGACTCTCTTGCCTTATTTTCTTAAACACAGCTGTTTAACACATGATACATACACATCTGGCTTTTATAATAGGCTCGAGTGTAATCTACCAGCCATCAATTGTGTAGCCTTAGGAATGTCAGGTCTTAAATTAGTATTTGAATGTTGCCTGTCGCTGCAACAGCTTTAACCTCAGATGCATATTTTAGTGATTTCACGCCGACCATAACACCATTGGCCAGAGTAGGTTGTGATGTCGTAACAGGGAGTGTTAATTGCTTGCTTAGGCAATTGCTGCGATAAAATGGGGATTGTCTCATATCCGTGGTATTCATATCTCTGTTTGACTTGGGGATGATGTATAACTAGTCAATCCTTTTGTAAACTTCCCTTCCTGGTTTGTATAACCTGTTTGGACGCGCCGCTATCGGCCTGCTTTGGCTCTGCCTGCTAGTAGGCGACCCAGCGTGTTATTCAGCCGCTCATGAATAACTGTGGTGGGGGGGGTCACAGCGCGGGGTCAGCCAGCATGCAGTGCCCCTGGAGCTGGGGGTTAAGGGCCTTGCTCGGGAGCTCAACACCATCATCACTGTGCTGGTCCCAGGATTCAAACCGGCGACCTTCTGATCACAGGCAGTCTGCTGATCCACACACCAACCCCATAGTGTTTCTCAACCCAGTCCTCTGCGGCCCCCCCTGCCCCCCCAGATTTTTGCTGCCTTCCAGCTCCCAGTGGTCCTCTGCGTTATTCATTGGCGGGGAGCTGGCATGGAACAGGAACTTGGGCTGTCTGAGGGTCCCCGAGGGTTGGGTTGAGAAACATTGGTTTAATGCCTTAATATCTTCCATAAAAGTAATAGTTTGCCTATCATGAAGCTTCCAGTGGCACCGCAGGTAGGTCTGTTATGAGGAAGGTACCACATCAGGGTCAAGGTTCCGGTTCCGGTTCCGGTTAATGACCCCAGATTCAGCCTCTGCTGTGGGTCAGTTAAAGCGAGTGTCTCAATCTCCCATTTAAGGACTCTGTTCACAAAACAAAGCCTGTTCAGTTGAAGGGTGCTTGACAAAGGGCACTATTTGCGCATCACTCCATGATGTTTATAGCCCATAAGAGAACAGAGGATCTGCTACGTCTGACAGAAAAGCTTGAGTGATGTTGCAGGAAATGGAGACATTAAAGTCGACTGTATGTTAGCACCACGGCTGCCGCTAGGCCAAATTTTAATTTAATTGTTAAATTTTTTTCTGGAATGTTCCGTGTTACTCAGTGTAAAAGTTCTGCGACTTATGAATGCTCAGGCTCACCAGGTTCTGAGGTCAAGTGGGAAAGGGAAAGAGATTTGGTGGTTAAATGTCAATATCACCCTTAAGATTAGTGAATTTCCGATGAAGAATACAGAACTGGGCAAGGGGGGGGGATCCATGCAGGCCCACGAAATGCCACACAGACACGAGGACAAAGGTCTTCTTGGGACAGACGTGAATACCTACATTTACATGAGAAATGGAGTGCCGGTTTCAGACGACGTCCAGGCCTTGATCAGAATGCCGATTCCTGTGTCCGGCTTGGAAAATGAAGCATTGTTCTGTGGAAAAGGTCACGATTCCTTAGGACACTTCTTGGCAGCATCTTGTTGGGCGGCGTGACATTTGAGCTGCTCTCTCAGCATCCCACTGCTCTCCCAGATCCCGAGGCGACCCAAGGATCCTCGCCGAGCAGTCGCCCGCTTGGCGTACATGTCTGCTCAACCCCCGTCCCATTGGCTGAGGGGCCAGTGCACGCCAGTGCGCGCCAGTGCACGCCAGTGCACGCCAGTGCGCCGTCCGGGCGCCGCTGGAGTCTCTGTCTGTATGGGGCGCCATGTTCAGCACAGGCACAGCGATGATGCGAAACTTAATGTCGGTTTTTCAGACGAGAGAGAACAAAATGGCTAATTGCAGGGGTAACAAAAGCATCGGCTTTTATTCTTCAGAGGGCATTAACATTCTTATGAGGTTGAATATTGAGTTTCTGAATGTAAAATACATACTTTTAGTGGTGAGGTTCTTCTAGGACGCCCCTTCGGAGTGTTAAGCATGAAGTTCCCTGTCCTCAGCCAGCCTTCTGAGTGGATTATTAAGCCATTCTAAAAGGCTGCCAGGACCCTAATGGCTTGTCCCCTTTCTCTTTGTTTTATTCCTGTACTTTAACACCTTTACAAAAGGGCTTCACTTTTATCTGAATGCCTGATTATTATGGTAATTGCTCATGCGTGGCCCCGGTGTGCCTCCAGAGGCTCGGCCGCTTCAGGCCGTCCGTCACTCCGGGGCCCTGCTCCGCCCTCGCCGCTGCCTTCTGCGGCCGGCCAATCGGAGCAGCTCTGCCGGAGCTTAATCTAGTCGGCTGGCCGGTCCACAGAGGGCCAGACCGTGACCCGGCGGCCTTGGTGTGCATGTCCCTCTGTACGACTCTACTTAACGTGAACCTTCTGACCTACTTGCCGAAATGGTTTCCTGCCAATGAATCACACGAAAACCTATCTGGAAAAATATGTGGGCTTGTGGGAGAAGCAGAGATACATGCGGATGTGGCTGCAGGGCTATTTTCCATAGCCCTCCAGAAAAGGTTCCTTTCTCACTGAAACGAGCCCGACGTCCCGGGCCAGTCACCACTGTGATGCTTGATGGTTTCTAACACAGGAAGTAATCAGTGCTGGAAAAACAGGTTAAGATGCATTTTTGGAAATGTCACTGTATACATGCTGTTTTCTGGTTGGAATATTTGGGAATCCTTAGACGGACCGGAGCCCGCATCGGCGTCCCTGCCAGCCCCCCCCCCCCCCACGTGCAGTGAGAAGCCGGCTTTGTTCCTGCGGGTGACCCTGCCCATGCTCTAGCCTTTTGTGTGTTGTTTCGTCGTTGATCAGACGCCCCCCTCCAGTGAAGAGCTGGGTCCTGTCTCCGCTGCCCAGAACCGGAATGGCGCTATTGTCCCTGGTGACACACAGTGGGCAGCAGGGTGTGACAGGGTGGGGCTGGCTGGCGGTAGAATGGGGTGGGGCTGTGGGGATGGATCGCCATGCTTTGCCCGGATGATGTACCTGTCATCGGTGTATCTGTATATCTGAGTACTTATCGATGTGTACATGCATGTGTGCAAATATGCACCCTGACGGAGCAACCCAGGTGTGGTGAGTCTGATCTCCTCTCCACTGTGCGTTTGTGCCAGAGGCTTATTGCCACATTTATCTGGGTGACAGTGATGCCCCATTCTGTCTGAGAAACCCGGTGTTCTGCTGAATTGTTTGGCCGTGGCAGAGGAGAGCACAGTATTGAGGGACTGCTGCACACGTGGCGTGTTCGCACATCGGGGGTCCTGAACGCCCTGCCTCTTGATTGGAGGGTCTTGCTTCAATCAGCAATCTTGTTTTGCTTGCTTCTGCTCTCCATGTTTTTTTTTAATTTGATCATATTATATAAGCTCCTCTGTTGTCGTCATGATGTGTTTTGTCTTTTCAATTTGTTTTATTTTCCATTTTTATTTATTTCTCTATATTCAGTGCTAGTGTAAACCATTTAAAGCATGTGATTTCAGCATTTTGAAGTGCAAAATGATTATAATACATAAACCATGATTTCCTGTTCGGAAACCCTCAATACTAGAGTCACTCAGTCTGAAATGCCACCTCTAACATCCATAGCCGCTCACCGCCGCCGCCCTTGTGTCATCCCCAGGTAACAGCATCCTGCACTCGGCGGCCGACAGCGTGACCAGTGCGGTACAAAAGGCCAGCCAGGCCCTGAACGAGCGCAGCGATCGGCTGAACCGGGCCGAGGAGAAGACCGGCGAGCTCATGAACAGCGCGCAGCAATTTGCAGACACAGCGCACAAGGTGGGGGGGGCATGACGGGTAATTACGGGTTTAGGTGTGATGAGGGTGCTGCCTTTTCAACCCGCGATGTGTAGGAGGAAGGCAGGGGTGTAACTGTTAGAGCAGATTCGCCCACAAACGCTTAAGTGGGTAACGGTTGTTCCCTTTGTGGTCGCGTCGGTCTGCAGATGTGCTCTGACCCACCGTGTAGCTGCGGTCCTGCATGCCCTGTCACTCATCCCTCTGCGTACCAGTCGAGTGCGTGCAGCAGTAACCGCGTCAGTTTGTCCTGCGGGGTTCAGCCCTGCAGACGCAGCCTGGGTAGGATCTGCATTATTGATTTGGCTGGTGCTGCACCTGGTGTGTTTGGGGGGTTTGCAGGGGGGGGCAGGGGGCTATTGACTTTGCAGCCTCTAGGGGGCGCCAGTCACTGTCCTGTCAGTTTGTCAGACAGCCCTGAGGCCCGTTTCTCTCATCCCTACCTGCTTCTCTGAGTGCACTCTGGCGACACTAAATGCTTTATGACATCCGCTTCATTTGTTTCTCACTTTTCCCGTAAGAAGGGTAGTCGCTTAACCCTGCGAAGGGGGCAAGTGTGCATGGTCCAGCTCAGTGTCGCTGTGGTCATGCAGCTCTGAGGTCCTGGCTGATGCTGGTCCTGCTGTCCGAAGCTTCTCGTGTCAGGCCTTGTCTGATAAACACATGAATGAGTGAGTAATGAATCACGGTGTTTGTGCTTTGATTAAGTCTCCTGCGTATATGCTGGCCTCTTGTCGGCCACAAATGAATTCCCCACAAGGTGAAAATGAGGGATTGCGTTCCGGTGCGCTGGGATCTTCACCTTCCGACAGCTCATTACTCTGCCATCTTATACAAGCTATTGAACGGCTAATTCAACTACATGCTTAATTACTGTAATTTCTGGTAGTGATTTTAAACACCTTAGTGAAAGCTACTTTTTGTACAAGTCTGCCTTACTGTGTTTATAAATAGCACAATTACTGCACTTTTGTCTTTTGTCGTCTAAGAGCCACCTAAGGTTTGACGTCCTTGTTTTAATAACTTCATTTTGATGACGCCCATGTGAATTTTTTTATCTTTGCTGGATAAATGTATCACTTTTTTGTGAGAATTTGATGTATAGCTTCCTTCTCACGCAATGTTCTTGTACTTAGCTACAAGATTTATACAGATGAAATAAAATATTAGTTAAGTAGAGAAAGTGTATTTCCTAAATGTAACGTGAATTATTTAAGCAGTTGTTAAAACCTGTGTGTTTGCAGTGAGTACTTTAATCACTGTTTGCAGTAGAATTACTGTGTAAAAACCTTATCAGCCATTCAGAGTGGGAGTGGATCAATGTACGGTTCCTGATGTACTGCTGATTCCCGATCCTCATTTATAGCAGATGTCAGTAAATCCACAGTCATAGACTTGGCTTGTGCAGGATTTTTGTGTTTTGCTGCCCCCTGGTGTTGCAGAATAGTATTGTAGAAGGCTTGGGGATTTTCTAGGATTGTTTGGCACCATTTACCCCCTGAACAGAGTTAATGGTTGATAGTGGGAATTGTGGTGAGGGCTTGATTCCAGTTCTGTGTTAGGGGGATTTACACCCCCTATGTGTGTGTGTGTGTGTCCTCGCATACTCAAAACACATTTTTGTGAATCTTGGATTCGTTTATATTGTTGTCTGAGTGAATGTTGTAGTACTACTTTAATTAATGTTGGCAAAAATGAATTTGCAATGTCAAGTAGTGTGTTAGTTGAAATGTTTTTTTCCCACCTTTAAATTAAACCATAAATGTGCCTGCGTTGACTTTCGTAATATTTTGGCACCTTGCTTAAATGAGGTAAAGATCTGTGAATGACCTACTAACCTGTCAATGACATGTACATCCTCTAAATAACTTCCTGGTGTTATGAATGACACATGCAATGTCCTCTGAGTGACCTGTTGTCTTTCCTCCTACAGCTTGCCATGAAGCACAAATAGCCAAACCGCCAAGGGATCTGCCTGGATGTGAGAAGTGCTGATCCTCTGGGACACCTTTCTAACTGTATTAATATTTTAACATCTTATTTCTTGTATGCCACTATCACTAATGAGTTTTACCTGCACACCTTGACATTGAGTGAACATCTGATCTGGAGCTCCGCTAGCCAGCTACCTGTCCGTGGGCCATTTAGCATGCAGTTTGCACCGCATACTTCCCTATCACCTGCCGCCCACTCGCTAGGCTACGCAAAAACCTTTTACCCGCCAGCCCCTATTTTCGGTTTCGACAGCGCCCCCTGAAGGCCGACATTGTTATGACACAGTAGTACATTTCATTATGCCCAGAAGCACTGCGAGTTGCTTGTAAAATTGTAACAGATTGTAGGCAGCCTCTGTCCTCTAAGACTTCAGAATGTGAAATCAGACTTTCAGACATTCCATTTTCCCACGGTATATAAAATACCCCCAGTACTACCTTATGAAGCTGCTGCAAAAGCTTAAAAGCTAAACTGAGTTTTGCTCTATGAAGGATGATACGTGTTCGTATAAAAGTGTTTACAAATTGTAAGAACCCCCCCCCCCCGCTATATTCCCTTTATGCCCCCCTCCCTCCTGCACTATATTATGGTTTAGTGTCCAGGATTTGTTTAATCTTCACTTTATTGATTTAAATGATAACATGAGTACAGATAGTAATGATCCAATGTACAGTATCTATCACTGCAAATGACTAAAGTTTTTATAAACATTCCAGAAAGTAAAACAGATAATGAAGGAACCCCTCCCCC